CAATTTTTGTCATTTGTTAGAGTGAGTTGTGCATATATTAATATACAGGGTGGCACAAAAGTAGGTTTACAGTTGTTTGTATGGAAAATAATATGATTAATTAATAATACAGTAATAAACTGTTTCAGGTAGGGGGCTATAAGGGCACTAAATTGTAATGGAAAAATATAATAAAGATTATATATTTAAAAAATAAAAGTAAACTGTTTCATGTATTTACAACTGTAAACCCACTTTCGACCCACCCTGCATCCACAGCCTCCCTATATATTCAAACCACTAAACATTCCCTCAAGTGTACTCAATTTCTCTTCACAAATTTTTGTAAGAATGCTAGCTATGAAAATGAACCAGTTTCCACTCCACTGCAAGAAATGGGACATTTATTCCCAGAAGGCTGAGTTCCCTTAGTTACATAAAAATTCTTTTCAGTGTGAGAAGAAATGATTACTATCTCAGGTATAGAAAATAATGATTCACTAATGAAGAGACAGTTCATCAATGATGAGTACCTAAAAAAGCTGCAAGAGCTTTGCCTTTGCATCCACTATGTACCTAACAGATATATGTCCAAAAGCCATTGCTCCCCAAGGATCATAAATACCTGGGAAGTGTCTGAAAATACAATTTCCTACAGGGAAGGCTTAAAATGAACCCTGTGATACTGGCCTGGAATTGAAAGTTTCCATGGACACAAATATAGATATGCTCATGCCTGGGCTAGAATACATATTTAATATCTGGGGTCTCTCTGCTAAGAAGATACAGAATCGAGAATACTCTAGAAATAGTAAGTGCACCTAGAAACCAGATCTTGGTTTCTAAATGCCATTCTCCAATAAAAAGAGCCAGAACTACTTAAAGAAGTTGCTAAACCCAGGGCTGAGGAGCAGGAAAATATAAGATGATGCTGGAGCACCTAACAGTGCCAGAAAGCAGGAAAATACTCAGTCAAAAGAACAGGAGCATGTTAAACAAACACAGGATCCAAAGCAAAAGAGCTGCCAAAGGCTAACAGTGTGGGCAATGAAATAATGATAGCCTACATACTAAAATATTCATGAGTCTAGTGATAGAAATTAAATTAATAAGTAGGGAGAAATGACAGCTTTCTCTTATAGAATGAATTCTAATTAATAAGTACAGAATGAGGGAAATAGAATCATAGTAATAACTGTGGCAGGCAATGAATGTTAGGAAAAAGAGGATTAAAGTTTGAGGAGAAATAGGATGTTTGCTTATTCTCAAAGTATCTTTCCCAAGGTATATATTCATTACAAAACGTCAAATAGTAACTTTATAGTAGAGAGACCTAAAGACACCACCTTTGTCAAGTGATCTAGGGAAACCTCCCCAGCAACAGACACACTGCCAGCAGGAACCCCCTTCCTGATGATTCACTGAAAAGGGCACATAACACAGCCATGATTTTCTTGCCAAAAACACATGACCTCCACCTAATTAAGAGACATCAGCCAAACTCATTTGGGGGGAAATTCTATAAAAAAAACTGACCAGCACTCATTGAAAGTATTAAGACCATGAAAGACTGAGAACTGTTACTGATTGTAAAACAAATTATAAAAAGTGTTTTTCCAAAAGTGGTAATATTTTTATTTAGATTCTTTCTGATAGCTATGTCCAATTCCTCTAGCCTAGACCTACACCTGACTTTTTGAGATGCCTAATAATGGTGATGAGACTAGGACTTTTACTTTCTATGTGTGAAACTGACTGACCAGCACCTGGATCAGGTCTAGAAAACTGGACTTTTCCTAATCAACTGAGTGAAATTGTTCAACTATCTGAAAGTATATATTCTCTGGGCAAAATGAGAGAGGTATTGTACAGTATTTATATAGCTATCTGTTGGATTTCTGTCCAGTTATGTTACTCGCAAAATCAGAGGAGCAAACAATTCAGACATTTTACTACATGGAAACAAAAAAGACTGTGAGCATCTAAGCAGACTCAGTCTGGTAAAAAATATTTGCTGAATGAAGAGACTTGTGTTTTCTTTGAATAGTTTAGTGCATACACTCTTACAGTATTGTGGAGCAGTTGTATATGTATGTATTTTAATTGTAAGCTATCTCCAAGTCTTTATTTTTGAAAACAGATGAGGGCATAAGTATAAAAATGGATAATAATTTTCAAACAGTCTAGACATAGTTCTGGCCACAGCCTCTAAGTTACTCTTTCCTAAGTACCTGAGCTCATCTGTAGTATCAGGATTAAAAGAAGCAAACAATTTGTGAAAACACAAAGATTCCAACAGAATTTACTCCCCCCCTAAACTGCCTAACTAGTAACACTACCACACTTCTGTGAGGAAATAAAATTCTATGCAACTAAATATTTAATTAGTTAAACAGTTCTATGAACACTGCCCGTGCTGGGCTGGAGGAAAGTGTTCCGTTTTGAACCCATTCACCCAGTGCTGTTCTAAGATTCTGGACAACAGGGAGTAATGACAAATGTGCTGGGAAAGGGGAGGGTTTCCTAGGTCAGTGTAAGGCAGTGCCCCAAGCCATACACCCCACACCCTGGGTGACCTGCTATCTTCTACCACTGTTTATGTCACTAAATCTTGCTGTAAATAATGTAACAATACAAAATTCTCTCAGAAAAAAGTGAGCTTTGGGGACTCAACTGTACAGATGCCCACATCCTTTGATAATGAGATCAGAGGGACAAGGATAGAGAAACACTGCCCTCAGGGCTTCCTACAGTCCTCCGCAGCAGGTGAAAATGTGCAGATCCAACCAAGGTCACGTCTCACTTCTGCCTCATAAACCGAGGTTCCCATCTCTAATATGAATGGCCCTTCTACCTCTAAGCCACAGAAAGATTAAATTCTAGAAGCATTTCTTAGCATTACAAGTTTAGCTAGAACTTCTGTAGTCTATTCTGTCCTATAAAAAATGGGACCAAGGTAATTTAAAATAAGTGTGGGTAAATAAGGCCAGTAGATTATTTTGGAACTTCAGGGTAATTGAATATGAAACAATTTGCTTTTCCTTGCCAAAGAAAGGAATTATCTTCACTTGTTTAGAAATTATGGAAACATGATTTTGTATTTTATTTTTTAAATCTTTACCCAAGAATATGCTTTTGTTGATTTTAGAAAGAAAGGAAGGAGCGTGGGGGGCTGGAGAGAAACGGGGATGTGAGAAACACTGAACGGTTCCTCCCGTCCTGACCCAGGACACAGGGCCCTGACCCAGGATACAGGGCCCTGACCCAGGATACAGGGCCCTGACCGACAACCATTCTGGTGTTTGGGGACAACGCTCCACACCCAACTGGGCCACCTGGCCAGGGCCGGAAACACAATTTTTAAAAAACTTCCCAGTTTCTACGAAAGCACAGAAAGCTTTCTGGGTTTTTTAAATAATTAATACATCTACATTCCATAAAATCATCTTTAAGATGAAGACTTTCACCTTCCAACAAGAGTTTCGCTCGGGCAGCTTATGACTAGTAAGGTCACTGAGGGCCTGGGCCCTGAGAAAAACAGGAATCATCCTCTCCTCCTGGACACACACACCAGGGTTACAAAAGCTAACTCCTATATAATCAGTGCAGCTTTTAAGCAGATATCAAAGCCAGTGTCCTGAACACTAGCCATTCAGAAAATCCAAGTTTCTTTTGGGTTAGGGAGGTCACCCATGGAATTTCAAGGATCTAACATTACCATAAAAGGGAACTAATAATAAAATGCAACTTAATCAAACACCTATGGCCCTTCTTTTAGAAAGAGGAAACATTAAGAACTTATTCCTGTGATGAGTGGTGTGTGTTAGTGCTACTCACTAAATGAAATTTTTAAATATTTCACATCAGCTGTGTTCACTATTCTCCTTTCTGACTTTTGAAACATAAATGCATGAATCCACATAAAGATCTATACTATTAAAATGAAATTTCAAAAGTAAATTGTTTCTCAGTAACACCTGACTTCTATTCATACTCAAACAATGTCCAGTTCCAACAATTCCCGAGAACCCTGAAAAGGTACTTATACCAACAGATCTAAAAGCAGAAACACACAAAATGTGACCAACATTTTTAAAAGGTGATAAAAATATTTAAACTAAAATCAACCTGATTACTAGCCAGATTTTAAAAACTAATTTTTGTCCTGTTTATTTTACACTTGTTTTCATAAAAACATATTCCTTTAATTTTCCTAAAAAATATCTTTACCTCACTTCATTTACTTCAGATAAGTTTTAAAGGAAAAGGTTCCATAAGTAAAGTTAAATAATATTTCCCTTAACTCATCTGGTTTTGTTTCCTTAGTTCAGACTTCTAGAACTTAACTAAGTTTATACGACTTGTATTATATCTTATATTAGCGAAAACTCTAAATAAAAAAAAACTTCAGACATCCTAATAAAAACACATATATAAAAATGCAAATAAGAATATTTTAAAAACTCATACAATATGCATATTCTCCACATCCTCCAGGTAAAAGCTTACAAACATGTATTTTTGTTTGCAGTCACAGACAAAGAAAGACTGCAGTCACAGTTCTCTATTATATATCAAAATACAATGCCAGTTTCAAAATGGTTTAGTTTTCAAAAAAAATTGACTAGATCACAAACTGTAAAAACTTTAAATGTTTTTTATTCCTCAACTACTACACCTAGATGCAAGAGAAAGTGAAACCAGATACATTTAGTTTGAAACTCAGTTAAAAAAAAAAAAATCTCAGTTTAACTTTACTTTTTTTCCTAGGCAGAACGTTATTAATAACTAATAAATAGAAAAATGTAGAAAGATGGTATAGCATGAATGAGGGAGACCAGGTAGGCAGGTTTCTGTTGAACCTAACATTTAAAAATTAATAAAATCTCTTACGACACTACAGTTTCCAAAGAAAAGGTATTAGCCATTTTCTTCTGGTGGGTGTCCTTCCCTCTTCTTTCGGTATTACCGAGACTGAGCAAGCAAACCAAGTGCCCAGAACCTTGGTGGATGTAACTCACCAGGATACCAGCAGGGGCCTTTCCATGGTAAACATCTTCAGTTTTGTTTGGTGAGTCTTCATGAACCTTCTCCTCATCTTCACTACCATCTTCTAAGTAAAACATCTTAAAACTGAACTAGCTTACAAGCATGTCTTTTTTCAAAGATGAAAATACAAATTTCTAAACTATCAAAACAGAAAGCTGCTCTGCTGACAAACTTTGCAAACACAGTAACATGGTTAAAACGGAAAGGAAATGGTTCTTTAAAAAAAATGCAATACATACATGACTTTACCAACGAGATTTGCTCAAAACACCTCAACCCCTTCTCTCTGAAGGGGAGATAAGAAAGGGCATGGAACAGGCTGTGCCATGTGTTTACGCTGATAGGTACCAAGTCCTGCCCAATCACATGACGGTCATTGCAGCTTCCATCACACAGGACAGGGATTGAGTTAATGATTCTCTAAATCAATCACATCCTCGTTTCCAGAAATAAAAACAACTATTTATATGAAGAAGTAATCTTACAAAAATTAATCATGTAAGGGAAAATAGTTTACATATGTTTGTAAACATCAATGAGCTTCCCAAGGACAGCCTGGTTATATGTGCTTTGAAGAACTCAATTACCAAAATTTTTTTTACTTTGTCATATTGGCATGACCCAACATATTTTCACAAGTGTAAAAGAGAGAATGCTGAACACTATAAATAATGAACAAATAATATTGTTAACAAATCATTATATTAATGTTATTATAAGTTATATTAGGTTGTAATAAACAATGAATAATTATTTAACTTCAAGAATATAACAATGCAACATTGTAAAATTCAAATATTCTTGGAATTTCCTTTTCAGCTCTTAGTAAGTTGACATATAGTAACTTCAAATGAATTGTTTCTAAAAAAACCTAAAATACACAAGACACAGACAGAATGTATTAACCTTTAAATTGAAATATACTATTGTGTTCATGAGTATCTAGGACAGTGCTACTCATTACAAATAGCCACTGGCCACATGTTGTTACATTTCCAATGTGGCTAGTACCAATTAAGATGTGTTGTCAGTGTAAAATACACAGAATAAAAACAGACATTGAAATAATCTCATAATTCTTACATATGCATAGGATCTCATAATTCTTACATATGCATAGGTTACATGTTAAAATAATGATATTTTGGATGTATTAAGTTAAATGAGATACATTCTTTTCTAAAGATATATTCTTAGAATTAACTTTACCTGCTTTTTTTTTTTTACTTCTTCATGTTACTAGAAAATTTTAAATTGCACGTGTGGCTCCCACTATGTTGTCCCACTACTTCTGAGCCCTGAGACTATCTTGGGAGCAACTTGGTAAAAAAGGACATTCAGCCAAAGTTTTACTAATGAATAACTAAAAACAGAATTTTTCATCATTCCATAAAAGCATTTGGTTAGTAGCTGGTCCTCATACATTCAATGATGTTCCCATTATTAAATACTTTTTCCCTACCTGTAGACAACAGAAAAGGACAAAATTCCTAAATATCTGACCAAATAAATGGGAGCTGGTATGCTTACTACAGAAATATATCACTAAGATGCACATAATAAAAATATTAAATGGCAGAGTTAAAACAAATTTCACCAAAATCAGAAACAGGAAATATACCTTACACTTAATATGTTACACTACCAGATATTCATGTGAACCTGGAGTACGTGAGGTACCCACAGGAACTTGTAATCTAATTCAACATGTATCATGTGCACAAATGCTTTCTTTCAAAAGAACATTTGGAGGGGTCTAAATATTATGATGTAGCCCTGACCAGTACGTGGTTCAGTGGGTTGGGTGCCAGCCTGTGAAACTGAAAGGTCTGATTTCCTACTGGGAATCAGGTTTGATTCCCGGTAAGGGCACCTGCCTGGGTTGCAGGCCAGAATTCCGTTTGGGGGCATTTGAGAGGCAGCCAACCGATGTTTCCCTTGCATATCAATGTTTATCTACCTCTCTCTCTAAAAAATAAGTATTATGATGCAATTTATAAAAATTTAAACCTCTTCCTCCATGTCCTACTGCAGTTCCAGATCCATGGTACCAGATGGTAGCAAGAAAAAACTGATACTGGAGTATTACCAGTGGGGGGGAAAAAATGGAAGGAGAAATGAGAGGTGAGGGAGAAGGAGATTAAGGGGAAAACTACTTAAGAAGGTGAAGAAGGGGGGAAGGAAGGTAAGCAGAAGAAATAAAACTTGGAAGAGAAGAGAAAACACTCAGGGGCAAACTGTAAGTAAGGTAGATAGAGGGATGAAGATACAGGGAAAGTGACAAATGGTGGAAAACCTCATCCACTTTAAATGTGAGAAAACTGAGGCTCAGAAAGAGGTCAGGCAATTAGCCCCAGGGCATCCACTTAGTTGACACCAGATTTCTGGCTCGGGGCTCCCCCACCTCACCCCCTGCCAGGTTAAAACAAGAGAAAGTGCTAGCGGGTAGGAGGATGGAGATTAACAGGAAAGAGTTAGAAATGTCTAATCTGAGCGGTAAAATCCAGGAGGGCAGAGATAGGCTGGTTATGACTTCTGTTCTGGCAACCTTTGCCTCAGATGCCTTTTACACAACAAGCAGCCCCGGGACAGTCACTTCGGTTTCCTGCTAGTATTGGAATTGTTTCAGTGTTTCGATTAATGACTCACAGAATGTTCTGACTACAAGGGAGTGGGCATGTACGATGGACCAAATGGAAGGTGAGCTCATCCTCCAAGCATCTGTTTAGTCAAGAGACTCACAACTCTAGCTTCCTCCTGTGGTAACCTGTAGATCACTTAACTCCCCTGGCTGGCACTCAACATTCTAGTTCCAGCCTGTCACTTGAGTGGTGGCTTTTCGGATGTGGCAAATAAGGGCTAGAAATCAAACCAACAATTCTTAATCATCCATGTGATTTTTCAAAGAAAAGTGCTATTGTATATTGTTAAACCTTTTCTCTATAGGCTAAGAATAATAGTTGAATATTGAGAAAAATTACTTTTTACTTTTCAAAAATCTTATCTTTTAAAAAAGGTGAGTAAAAATTGGATGCTTTTTCCCAAGACTTAAATCTTTCCAGACAAAATCTAGTTTAAGAAAACAAAGCCAAAATGCAGTCTGAAGAGTCAAAATCTTGTTTAGAGGTCCACATCTCATAATGATGTTGTAAAATATATACTGTTTGTTTTTTTCCTACTACCAAATTCCATTAGTATCTGAGACTAGGTATAAAACACTTCTTAAGAAGATGTAAGAATTTATTTAAAACTTTCTAACCTGATATTTGGTTCAACACAAATACCTTTATGCCACAAATTATATTCTGATTTTAGAACAAAACATGAAAATAAACCCCTCCCCCTAGTGGTTATATTGTGGAATAGCAACACATTTCTACTGAATTACTAATGAAGTGAGAAAAATAATTTTTGAGTAGTTTAAAAAAATCAGTGAAAATATTTTAAAGCCTCAGTTACAAAGAATTCATAATCACCATAATTACTCTATAGTAAAGAAATTAACTTAAGTGCCTTGCTGCATTTTCAAGGCCATTCACATGTGACAGAGAAGCCCACACAAAAGGACTAAAGCCCACCTGAAACAGAGTTCTTTGAGCCAGATGGCTCCTATCATCTGTAATACACTAAAGCATATGAAGTTTTCCTTCCCATATTTGGAGCTACTTAAAACACACTGTTTACCTATGAAAACAATCCAAAAGTGACCAATATGCTATCTTCAAAACCAACAGAAAAATTCCCCCTGATCCCATTGAGTTTCTCAAACATTTGTAGTTTAACTGTTTATTGGCAAATGACTATGTAGTTTACTCAGGCTCCAATGTTTCATTATATCCTCACACAATCCCAAAATGCTAAAGAGCATAGCTAGTGACTGTTTTATTTGTACTATGAATGAATGAATAATCAAATACAAACAAGTCTTTCCAGGAACAAAGAAGAAAAAAAGGGTCTCCAGAAGTCAGAAGGCCCAGCTCAAAGTGACACTCACAAAGAGAATCTTGACAACTTAGATTGTATCTTTAATATTGAATGTAGCTTGCATTCTGCTCTGATGTTTCCATTTCTTACTTTAAAAACAAAACAAAAACTGAAAAGACTCACTGGTCAAAATTCAAGGGTTAATGCACAATATTTCCTGTATGGCCTAGATTATCCTCAGTGTACATATTCCAGTCTAAGGAGTTTGGGCCTAAATATCCTCTGAAATCTAACCCTTCTGACATTAATGTTCTAGGTCAAACTTTCACCCAAATACTTTGAAATCAGAGGGGAAAGAATGAGAACTGTTTGGCTGTAGCTGTCAAGCTTATCCCTTTGATTGTTGAGAGGGTAAAGCTAAGCAGCCCAACCAAGGATCAAAAGAATCGTGATTTGGCATGTCACAAATTCTGGATATTCCAATAAAATAAACCAAAAGAAGTGGGAAACCCTGCTCAGAACCCACATGGTAGCTGCCTCTCTGGGTGTGTGTGTGTATTTCTGTGTTCTGTTTAAAGCATCTGTTTCTTTTTAACTATTTGTCTCTTCCTTCAATCATTTCACCCTCTGAACAGCAGTTTGCAATGGTCCTGTTCCCACAGTGACACTCAGTAGTGACATCCTAAGTATATAAGCAATTTTATGTACTAGGGCTTAGTCACCCCATTTTGTTCACACTCAAGAAATCCTGTTAAAATGCAAGTCATATTATCAAATTTGAAAATAGTAAACAGAAACAGATCTTTTGCTATAAACTCACAACTAACAGGAGTGCACCAGTATTTCACAACACTGACTAGTCAAAGTACTTCAGGAAGCACACTGTTGGCTTCCTCCATTCCAGGTCAGGAGTGAGAGAGAGAGCCAGAGAAAACTACAACAAATGAAGTGAGCAAGAGTGGATGATATCATTAACACAACCCAAAGAAAAATAAGTTTTAATTACCACAAATTATGAGATCACACTCTTTATCTCTTAAGAGGAACTTACAAGCTGGTTCTGCATAATAATTCTAGCTAAAAATTTTCTGGACCATAAAAAAAAACTGGTGATGGTTAATTATTCTGATGGTTCATTATTCTGATGGTTAATTAAACAGTTACTTACAACTTTATTTTCAAAATATTGGTATTTAGATGATATTCTCCTTCCCGCTCTCTTCTTCCATCTATATAAATGAACTGTGACTGTAGTGTTAAGTAAGTGCTTAGGAACCAGGAAATCAAT